CAGATATTCAGCAACACTCCCTGTTTGCGTGAGTTTGTTGAATTCCTCGATGGTCTCCTCTGGTGAGCCTCCTCCAAATCTTCCACATACTGCCAAGGACAATTCCTCCCAATCGACAAACTCCCTACCATGGTACATCCCATGGAACCAGATGTCCGCCTTATCTCTGAAGTGAAGTTGAGCCAAGTCAGACTTCACCTCCTCAGCTACTCCCTGGATCTGGAAGTACTTGTTGGCTCTCCTAACCCATTCCCTAGGATTATCCCCATCAAACATAGGGAAATCAATCTTAGGTAACTTAGTTCCCCCCCTAAGATCCTGCCTCTCAGTTTTTTCCCTCCTCAGATCCTTCCTCTGTTCATTCCCAGAACTGCTTCCCTCATCCCTTCTCCCAGGTTCGTTCAATTTGGCCATCATTTGAGCCATCATTGACATCATGCTCTCGTACTTCTGGTCCAGGTTTTTAATGGCCTTCTCCGTGCCTTCCTGCCTATACTCTATCGCCCTGACCGCCTGTTCCAATCCATCGTTTTTGTTAGCAAACGTCCTCACAACACTCCCTAGCTCAGTCAGGTCCTTCCTTATCAGCTCCTCCTGTGCTTTCGTCATCCCAATGGCTCGTAGTTAGCTCTGATACCACTGTAATGGTACCAGACTTGAGCTAATTAGGAATGTTGGCTCTCGGAATCGAAATCACAATCAGAACGCAAATGAAATTAATTCAAACACAAAACGAGCTAAGAATGGAGCTCAGTAATGGCTTTTATTAATCTGTAAAAGAATACAGAAATGGCGGGAACAATAAGAAGGTGAAAGAGAATGAAGGAAATTTTAAGAAGGAAAAAGCAGAATGAGATTTGATGCTCACTTCTGTTGAATTACAAGACAAATTGATGCCTGCTACGTTCCCTTAATTCCCTATTTATAACTATCAATCTATAACTAACATCTGGTCCTCTAATCGCATTTGTCCAAGTGGCCAAGTGGCCAAGTGGCTGTGAATTTGGTTACACGAAACTGAAAGTTGTTGCAGAACTTCAATGGCTTCCTTCGCGTGGTTGCAGAGTTGGTTTCCAGTAAAGGCGTGGTCCTTGATTCACGCCTTGGTTTCTTTCTTCTTCCTAGATCACGCCTTCTTCTTTGCTATCTTCACGCTTCCATTTATTACTTGATTTGCTTGTCAGCTGCTCCATGACAACCCATTTCTTCTTTTTCGAAGTCTTGGCAAAGATGAGATTTCTGTCGGTTCCTGGGTTTCTTATTGGAGAGCGAAGCAAGAGAGACGAAACAGATGCTATGTGATCCTTGGATTTTTTCTTTATTATGTTATTAGTCCTTGAACTTAATACTTAGTATTAGAATGGCATTTGACCTTTTTTTTATACAATAGTGGCCGGACACGTGACTATCATATGACTTTTTCTGGTAGCAATTTGGGAAAAAATTGTTAAGGATACTTAATATGCTCAAAATTTGAAAGTTCGGGTACCACATTTGTTTTTGTCCAAAATTTGGGGAATAAAACTGCTCATGTGTCAAAGTTTAGGTATCAAAACTGCATTTTTCTCTAATTATTATTATTATGGTAGGTATATTAATTTTTTTAAACATTATTTATCTGTAGTGATACAAAATATTAGAGTTAACTAATGATTTTAGGGATAAATAGACAAATTAAAAGAAAATGATGTTAGATGGTAAAGTGCAAAATGGTTATACCTTAAGGGGATTTATTGCGATTAACACATAGGGGTATCAATGTCTTTGTGACGGGTTAATCACATTTTATCCCGTTAAAGAATACCTCATTTCTCAGTTTACCTCCTAACCTTTAATTTTGCTTACTTAACCCCCTTTAGGACAAAATTGCCCTTACATTATTTTGACTTTTCATTTACCTTGTTTTTCTTTCTTTTATTTCTTTTTCTCTTTCTTCTTTATTTAATTCTTCCTCTTTCCCACAAAAATCTTGACTTTAATGATTGAAATTAAAAAAGAGGAATTGCATAGATCTATCTTCTCTTTAAATGATTAAAAAAATATTCAACTCACTTTCTTAAAATACAATTTTTTTAGCCTTTCAATTCTTTTAATTTTGGAATTTTCTCTTTCTTTTCTAGTTTCTCATTTTATTCTCAAGAAAATATCATAAGATGAAATTGTTTTCCTTTCTTTTATTTCTTTTTCTCTTTCTTCTCTCTTTCATCCTTCCCAATAGAAATTTCATTTCAACGAAAATTTTTGTTTTGAGTTCGTAGTTGCATATATCTGGGTGAAGATTTAAAAGACATGAAAAACTAATTTTGATTTTTTGTATGATGCCATGTGTCACAAATTTCAATTGATGATTATTAATCAGGTCACAATTTCATCTTAAGATATTTTCTTGGGAATAAAATGAGAAACTAGAAAGGAAAGAGAAAAATTCAAAATTAAAAGAATTGAAAGGCTAAAAAATTGTATTTTAGGAAAGTGAGTTGAATATTTTTTTAATCATTTAAGGAGAAGATAGATTTCTGCAATTTCTCTTTTTTAATTTCAATCATTAAGGTGAAGATTTTTATGGGAAAGAGGAAGAATTAAATAAAGAAGAAAGAGAAAAAGAAATAAAAGAAAGAAAAACAAGGTAAATGAAAAGTCAAAATAATGTAAGGGCAATTTTGTCCTAAAGGGGGTTAAGTGAATAAAATTAAAGATTAGAGGGTAAACTGAGAAATGAGGTATTCTTTAAGAGGAAAAAAATGTGATTAACCCGTTAAACAATATTAGAGGTAACTAACCGTTAGGAAGGTAAAGTGAGAAAAAAATAATGTTAAGAGTAAAGTGCAAAACTAGTTAAACCTTAGGCTGACATTTTGTGATTAACCCCAAATTAAGTGATGGCCACCTCCTTAAACATGATCATTTACCTCCTTAAACACGTGACGATTTCCAATAGGCGTTAGGAGTACCTTTTTTTAATTAGTATTAGTTACTAACTTAAGTAATAACTATTGATTTTTCTTATGCAATGCAGCAGTTGATGACTTTTTTCAAACCTATCATCTAGTGAAGTATTAAAGTATTAACAATCTATGTGTCAGTTTGAACATATAAAATTACAATAATCTTGTCTCTGCAATTGTAATTTAACAAAATACGAACCAATCAATTTTACAACTCCATTTATTTATTTGTAAATAATGCTAACCAAACATAGCCCTGACAAAAAAATGTACTTAGTTTCTTTTCAAACAAAAAATGTGTGTGCTGAAAAAACATTACTTTAAGACATCAGTTCAATTCCATAACCAGCCACCCTAATGTTTCAAATTGGGTAACAGAACATACATATTTAATTAACATATCCAGGGCAGATCTTGGATATGCACACAAATATCATTCCATATTCTTTATCAGCAATCTATTTTGGGGTGCAAGATCTTGGGCACCTAGGGATTCATCAGCATCAACAATAACAGAATCTCCCTCTGTAATATCTCCTCTTAAAATTTCCATTGCAATTTCACTCTAAACCAGCTTCTGGATCACCCTCTTCACAGGCCGAGCACCAAAGTTTTGGTCAAAACCCAATGTACCCAAAAGATTTACCCCTTCCAAAGTGCAATGCACGTCAATTTTCTTTTTCTTAAGCCTTTCTTTAACACGATCTATCTATCGTTTGACAATTTTGATGAGATGCTTAGAATCTAAAGGTTGGAAAACAATGTACTCGTCAATTCGATTCATAAACTCTGGCTGAAATATTTTTCCAGCCATCTCAATTGCTTTATTCTTCATTACCTCATATGTGTCCTCCCTGCCTTCCTCCTTGTTGCTAAGAGTTTCCAAAATATACTGAGAAGCAATATTCGAAGTCATGATGATTATGGTATTTTTGAAACTAACTGTTTTTCCCGCACATGTTGAAAACGTCAGGAACTGCCTTCTCAATTTCATCAAAAAGCACAATTGAGTGAGGACTCCTGCGGACTGCATCAGTGAGCTGTCCGCCTTCTTCAAAACCAATGTACCCTGGTGGGGCACCAATTAATCGACTGACTTGATATTTTTCCATGTATTCACTCATATCTATCCGCACCAATTTAGGGTTCTTTGAGTTGCTAATGTTTGCGAGCTAAGTTTTACCAACACCTGAAGGACCTAAGAACATAAAACTTGCAATTGGCCGATTAGGGTCAGACAAGCCAACACTTGAACGCCTGATAGCATCAGCTACAGATTTGACAGCAGTTTCTTGACCAACAACCCTTTTGCAAATTTTTTTTTTCCAATGAGACAAGCCTATTCCTCTGAGACTGGTCACGGTTTAACACTGGTGCGCCTGTCCGTTCTGCAAAGGTTTTGCAAAACCTTTGCAAAGCCCTTGTAATTTCAATGCCAACCATTACAGCCCCAGCCCAAGCCCTTACTATTCCTTCTCGTGCCATATTTTTAATCTGTGAATTATCAGTTATCTCGTGGTTGGTGGTTGCAGTACTTGAGTAACACCGAGCCAAAGTGAAAGCTTCACGTGTAACGATATCTTTGAAGCATGATGATGAGGATGTAATTGGAATCTCCTTGATTGCTAATCCATGGACAGCTGATGGAAAGGGGAAACTGATCAAGGTTGTACTAGTGGAAGAAGAGAGTTTTCTGGCTGCTAGAAACACTGCTGGAGGACAACGATGAGGGCTAGAGGACCCTCTAGGAGCTGAGACGGCAACCAAGGGAAGCCTGCAAGTCGACATCATCAGCATTTGCCCCCAAGACCGACTCCAGGCAGAGTTACGATTGGATTTTTGTGCGATTGTGCCGTGGTTATTGTACGCTTATATAATAATGTTAACAAAACCTAATGAATAAGATTTTTGTACAAAGGTAAGTTGAATATTTTTTTCCTTCTTGTGGTGAATGTTTTCGTGCTAAAAAAGGTAGCATCTTGGCATATAGGAGGACAAACGTATCAATAAGGACATTAGGAATCACACTCACAAGTCAGAAACATTCTAAACATCATGGCTACTCACAAAGTTCTCAGTTTTGTCTTCTTCGTTTTATTGGGCATAACAATATGTTGTGAATGCCGATCACTCCTCACTTTTGGAGGAGGAGGCTACAACGAGGGCTCAGGTGGTGTTACAGGAGGGGGTGGCTTTGGCCATGGTATTGGTGGTGGTTATGGAGCTGGTGGTGGGACTGGTTATGGCCACGGTGGCGGTGCAGGTGCAGGGGGTGGTTATGGTGGAGGAGGCTATGGAAAGGGTGGCGGTGCAGGAGCTGGGGTGGTTATGGTGGAGGAGGTGAAGGCGGAGGTGGCTATGGAAAGGGAGGTGGTGCTGGAGGTGGAGGTGGTTATGGAAAGGGCGGCGGTGTAGGAGTAGGGGTGGTTATGGAAAGGGTGGCGGTGCTGGAGCAGGAGGTGGTTATGGTGGGGGAGGTGAGAGCGGAGGTGGCTATGGAAAGGAAGGTGGTGCTGGAGGTGGAGGTGGTTATGGAAAGGGTGGCGGTGCAGGAGCTGGAGGTGGTGAAGGTGGAGGCTATGGAAAGGGTGGCGGTGCTGGAGCTGGAGGCGGTTACGGTGGAGGAGGTGAGGGTGGTGAAGGCTATGGAAAGGGGGGGTGGTGTAGGTGGTGGAGCCGGTGGTGGTAGTGGTGGAGGTTATGGTGGAGGTGAAGGAGGTGGTAAGGGTGGCGGTTATGGAGCTGGAGGTGGACATGGTGGAGGTGCTGGAGGAGGTTATGGAGGAGGAGCAGCTAGTGGAGGTGGATATGGCAGTGGTGGAGGAGCAGGAGGTGGATACGGAGGTGGTTCTGGTGGCGGCTATGGAGGTGGCGGCTCAGGCTATGGTGGACATGCACGTTGAGAACCAATGCATGCATTTTATATCTACGCTTTGTTAGAGTGCTTCCCAACAATAAGTATTATCTAAGCATCTCATGATCTGTTTTCATTTGCCGGATAAATTCAGGCTTTCATGGATTTCAGCACTGAAGAGTTTTAAGTGTTTTGGTTATTCAGCTGTTCCCTTGGCTGCTGATCAATCGAACCGCACTTAATAACCGGTGGTCATTTTAAATAGGGTTAATCACATTTTACCCTCTTAAAAAATACCCCATTTCTCAGTTTACCTCCCTAACATTTAATTTTGCTCACTTAACTCCCTTTAGGACAAAATTGCCCTTGCATTATTTTGACTTTTCATTTACCTTGTTTTCCTTTCTTTTATTTCTTTTTCTCTTTCTTCTTTATTTAATTCTTCTTCTTTCCCACAAAAATCTTCACCTTAATAATTGAAATTAAAAAGAGAAATTGCAGAGATCTATCTTCTCCTTAAATAATTAAAAAAATATTGAAATCACTTTTCTAAAATACAATTTTTTTAGCCTTTCAATACTTTTAATTTTGGGTTTTCCTCTTTCCTTTCTAGTTTCTCATTTTATTCTCAAGAAAATATCATAAGATGAAATTGTTTTCCTTTCTTTTATTTCTTTTCTCTTTCTTTAGTCTTTCATTCTTCCCAATAGAAATTTCATTTCAATGAAAATTTTTGTTTTGAGTTTGTAATTGCATATTTTTGGGTGAAAGTTTAAAAGCTATCAAAAACTAATTTTGATTTTTTGTATGATGCCACGTGTCACAAATTTCAACTGATGATTATTAATCAGGTCACAATTTCATCTTAAGATATTTTCTTGGAAATGAGAAACTAGAAAGGAAAGAGGAAAATCCAAAATTAAAGAATTAAAAGGCTAAAAAAATTGTATTTTAGGAAAATGATTTAAATTTTTTTAATCATTTAAGGAGAAAATAGATTTCTGTAATTCATCTTTTTTAATTTCAATTATTAAGGTGAAGATTTTTGTGGGAAAGAGGAAGAATTAAATAAAGAAGAAAGAGAAAAAGAAATAAAAGAAAGGAAAACAAGATAAATGGAAAGTCAAAATAATGCAAGAGCAATTTTGTTCTAAAGGGGGTTAAGTGAGCAAAATTAAATGTTAGGGGGTAAACTGATAAATGAGGTATTTTTTAAGGGGATAAAATATGATTAACCCTTTTAATATGTATCCCTTGTTTATGTTTCCAAAACATATCAATAACAAAAACATGTACCCCTTGTTTAAAAAAAAAGGACATTAGGAATCAAACACTCACCATGAGGAAAAAAGAAAGTATTGATGAATGTCTACTTTTAACAAAAATCTAATGTGGTATGGTTACAGGTGCTATTGTATACCCGTTAAACAGGAGACGAAATCAGAATTTTTGTTTGGCGACTGATAGGGTGTTAATTGTTGATTATTTTATTATTAATTTTCCCTTTGTCCTTGCCAAATATTGTTTTAATTATTAATATTTACTTATATTCGGTATCTGGACTTAATTTCAGGGAATGAAGCAGAAAACTACAAAAAGGAGGTATTTTCCGGAGAAAATGGAGACTTCTAAATACTCCACAGACCTGGCCCACATTGCTGAGAAGAACCGGACTTCCATTCCCCTTTTTTGCTGACTAAGAGTCCTCCTACCAAGAGAAAACATAATACAAGGAATTTGGCAGAGCTTTCTTTTGAGTACTTGGAATCTCAATTTCGGCGGGGACCACGGATAAGAAGCATGAGTCATTTGGACTCTTGGAAAAGAAACGTACAAAGGCTTGTGAAAGGGAATTGGACTCTCAATTTCAACGGGGATCACTAGAGATAGCATTAGACTTTCTTTTGGCTTTAAAAAGGGAGAAACGTACAGAGGGTTGGTAGCTTAGTTTTTAGAGACAATTTAGTTTTCTTTCTTTTCCTGATTCATGCGTTTTCTTTGGTTCGTATGTACACCAGAAGTATTGTGACGATCTTGCGTGGGTTCTCCTCAATAGGGATGAACTAAACCCCTTCTTCTAGTCAAGAACAATGGAGGATTTGGTTCGACTTAAATTGTGAGATCTAATCGATTTTAGTTTTCCTATTATTTTCTGGTATTCGTCTATCTTCTGCTTTATGTTTATATGGTTGTTTTATTATTCGATTATCTAGGGCCCGGATTCTAGATTAATTCAATAACCTGAAGCCAATTAGGGTAGTTAAATCCGTAATTGTTTAATTATTCTAAATTGGTGGCAACTGGCATGATTGGATTTGTGTCAGGGAGATAGACAGGCTAACTTAAAGAGACCCTCGTAGCGTGTTGATTGGTTAGAATTAGGCTCTTCTAATTATTCATGCAATTAGGGAATTGAACTTCTATGGTCGTACCTAGGGTTGTTTCCTGATTAGAGAAATAGTCAACGGTCGTACCTTGGTTATCGACAAATTGAGGAAGAGTTGGTTGTTTATCGCGTGTATGACAACTATATCTAATTTATCAGATAGTAACTGGAATAATCCTTGCATCTGTGATCGAATTAAGTGAACCATCTCCGAAGTTGTCTCTTGGTTAGAGTTCGTCCATTATTATTTTTATTGTGATAATTAGTTATTTGAGTTGTAGTTATTTTATTTTATTTTAATTTATTCCAAGTAATTTAGTTACTCTCATTTTCAAAAACCCCCATATCTGGAACTTGAGAAGAAATTAAATTATCCCCAATCTCTGTGGATTTGACCCTACTTACCGCTATATACAGAATTTGTATTTTATTTGAGCAGGTATTTATTATTGCACAGGCTTGACATCCTGTCAATTTTTGGCGCCGTTGCCGGGGACTGGTGCCAGATTAATTTGTTTCTTTTTGAGTTCATCTTGTTTTTATTTTTTTATTTATTTTTCACTTATTTTTTTATATAGTTTATGGCTTCTAACACTCCGTATTTTGGTGATAGACTGGATTTTGTTTCCAGGGAAGGCAATGAGGCTTGTTTTTTTTGCTAAGTTTGCATATTCAGAGGCACTAAACTCTATCAGAGAAAGAATGGCTGCTGCAACCTGTAAAATTTGTTATGCCAGGGATCATTCAACCGGTATGTGCCCGAATATCAAGATAATCTGAGTGTCTCACTCAATAATTATGGAGATTTTTCACTCTGGTCTCAAACGTAGTATAATCCTAATCCAAACGGGTATCTGAATTGATGACTTCACAAGAAGAAGAAGAACTTGTTGTTTAAGGGATTCGCACTGACCTTCCCTCTGTGGATGGTATGCCCGGGAGGTGACTAGGCATTCCCACGTGCGGGTTCTCTGGTGCCCTCTCTCTTTACTACATTCTCTGTGCTCACTCTGCTACTTATCACCCGATAGAGTGGCTTCGCTCCTCCCGAAGGCCTAATCTTCTTAGTGAGAACACTTAGCTTGTCTGTGAGGTAAGAAAGAGTAGGATTTCACCTTCTTCTTATAGACATTACATTAATAAGAAGATTTAGCTGTAAGGGTTAGTCTTTCACCTCACTTGCTGGGCATTCCTTTTTGCAGCAATGTTGGGCTTTTTGAAATCCAGTCCTTTCAGCCTTTCTTGCTTAGATCTTTTCTGGTAACTGCCTCGTAACTGCATTACTATAGTGCTTTCCCTTTCATGATCAAAGATGGTGGGATAACTCCAGTTATAATTATACAATAGGGCCAATGAATTTTCAGCAGTATGAATCTCAAGAATCATCATCTATGTCAGGTATGTCTCTTGAAGAAATAGTTGAATCAATAGCTACTAATACATATCAATTCCAACAGGAGACACAAATGAGAAATAGGATGATGAAGGATGCAATGAGTAATCTGGCAGACCAAATATGTCTATTGACATCCAGAATAAATCGATTGGTTTCTCAAATTGAAGGATTGCCCTCGAAAACCATTGTTGATTTTGAAGAAAATGAGAGTGCAATTTGCTTGACTAGTGATGAGGAGATGCAAGAGTGTCAAAATGATAGATCTACAGAAGCAGTTGAAAAAGAAGCCGAAAAGGAAGAAATGGAACCCCAACCGCAACCCATTCAAGTGAAAGAATCCAGTGAAGAATCATCAAATGTGGTGACACCACCTCCATTCCCTAACTCGCATTTTCCTAACTCTTACTCTATTATTTCTGTTAATGAGATTGATTTTGTTATACCGGAAGTTTTTGAGTATCATAGCAGAAATAAGTTAAGAATAGCTATGGTCAAATATCTTGAACCGTTGAGTGCTCTTGATGGAGGAGTGGATGAAGAATTGAGATCACTACTTGATTATTTGGCGCCATCTACTAGTCCATGGAAAACCGTAACTCGTGTGCTCAAAAATTACTCTATTTACGAGGGTTATCAGGACTATATAAAGGATGAAGCATTGAAACGAGCCACAAGATTCTATCCTCCCTGAGCAAAGATGACAATATCTAGCCAAAGACATTAAAAAAAGGCGCTTTTTGGGAGGCAACCCAAATATTGGTTTTATTGTTTTTCGTTGTTCAATTCTTTCGTTTTGTTGTTTCTCATTTGGGTAGTAATCGGTCTTGATATTTTTCTTCACTGTGACCTGGAAGTGCAATCTTGGCCAGCCTATGCAGTGTTTGTGACTCCTAAGATCAGTGGACGTTTACCAATCTTAGCGTGTCCACGCGGTGTTTGACGACCCAAAAATGAATTCAAAAAAAATTTTAAAAATTCACATTGAAAAAAAAATTCAAAAAAAACATTTTTTCTCTTCTTTTTTTTTTTTTCAAAAATTCAGATTTTGAAAATTTAAATTCGGAAAAAAAATTTTGAAAAACAACAGTGAAAAAAAAACCCCCAAAAATATTTTATTCTCTTTTTTCTTTTCTTGTTTTTTTTTCTTTTTTTTTTCTCTTTCTTTCTTTCCTTTCTTTCTTCTTTCCCTTTTCTTCCTCTTCTTCCCCGCTTCCTTCTTCTTCTTCTTTTCTTTTCTTCTTCAACCGAGACCCGAGCCACACGCCGC